CAAATATCACATGATCTCACTTTTATGTGGAATCTAAAGAAATCAGACTTATAAATTGGAGAACTTTCTGTTTTGTGCAAATTTCTTTTCTTTATATATGTTAAGTGTAGATTGTGTAGTTGAAACGTGCTAACTTTCTTGAATAAATTAAATATATAGGATCTCATTTAATTGTTGCATATCCCTATATCTTAGAATAATAGCCTGTTACATAAGTGAATCAAAAATTTCTATTAACATTATTATTTTTACTATAATCTTCTTCCATAAACTTACCAAACAGGTATGAGCATTATATTGGAAGTTAGAGACCTGGATTCTAGTCTGTCTCTTGATTACTTATCTGGATAACTTTAAATAATTCTCTTAACTTTTTGGAGCATCAGTGCAGTCACTGAAGTAGAGGGGCTTAAGCTGGGTGATAACTAACTTCATCTGAGATCTAAGATTCTATGTATCTATAAATCCTGCTCATTTGGTTTGGTAATTTTATAGAAAACTACCACTAAATTTGATAATTTTTGTTTTTTATTACCAAAAATTATTAATGCCAACTTGTGCTTCTATAGCTAACATAATAAATGAATTTGAACTCTAGTTTATCTTTATTGCTTAATTCATGAATTTGGGTTCTAATTCATCTCTTGATTATTTAATAGAGCAAGAATTCAGGGTATTACATTAGGACTTTAATCTTGACATTATTATTATATATAGATTTCTTTCTTCTTACAACATATTTACTTTGTTTCTAGGTTAACTGTCATGTCATAATTTTACTAGTTCTGGGTATGGCTGTCTCTTCTCAGAAATTGCTTTAATTTCACACTGAGTTACTGATAATGAAAGAGTAGAAAGTAACAAAGACATTGATTGCCTTCTGCTTAACAACTACTATGCAAGAATCTTCATTAATTCATCAGATGTTTGCATGCTTTCTGTGTCCCAGCCACAGTGCTCTGTGCTTATTTAATTTTACTATACCTCTTCAAGGTTTATATATATTACCTATTTTTGGAAGATGAGAAAACTGGGACTTACTCAACTTGCCCAGGGTAATATAGCTAATGAATAACAGAGCCAGTATTAAAATCCAAATCTGCATTATGCCAAAACCCATGCTCATTTTACTATACCAATTGATCTGCTCATACAAATAGGTAAAATTACTGACATTATGCAAACAAATTCAAATTTTAAATTGTAATATTGACTTTAATTTCATACATGTTTTAATTTTTCAGCCTGACAGAGAAAATCAAGATTGCCTATTTGATAGAATTTCAGAAAGTTATGTGATACTTTTCATGAGCATACCTCTAAGTCGAAAGGATGCATTCTTTCAGGTAAACAGAAATTAATAGTTATGCTATTAGGAAAAAAAAACAGTTATTTTATTTAAACATATATGAGAATATATTTTGTCACTTTTTATTTATTTATTTATTATTCCAGGGTTTTGTGAGGGTACAAACATTATAGTTACACTTTATGTCTTTGCCTCACCCAAATGCGGGTTAAAGGCATGCCCTTCCCTCCCTTTAGTGCTCCCCGTGTCCTTTAGTTGTAGATTTGCCCTATTTTGTCACTTTTGACAGCAAAATTGTCTGGTATAGAGTAAATAATGGTAATATTTTAAAAGTTATGCTCTTACCACACCCTCTCCCAAATATTGTATTCCCTTGCTTCAAAGTCTTACTGAATCTTCTTAGTGGTATAGGTATTTTGTTTGCATACTAATAATTTGAAAATTCTTGAATTATTCTATGTATGTTGTTGTCTTTTTTGTATTTACCTACAAAATTATTTATCATTTTTCTTTTACTTTATAATGAAATGAATCTTGATCCGTTTAAGAGGACTTGACAATTTTATGTTATGCCTGAGTACTAAGCACCTGTCACAGTAAAGTACAATGCATAAAATTATGAATCGAATGCTTATTGGACCATTATTTGGTCCAATCTTTTGGACCATTATTCAGTCTACCACAGTGACTTCTAAGGGATCTACTAATTCTAAAATTTTATACAATTAAGGGCTTAATGTGTGGTTGTAAATACTTATCTGAGTGCAGAATACCAAAATGGTTATGTAATTTTTTCTTTAATATAAAAATATAGTATCTTTCAATGTTTAGTCACTCTCTGAGAGGAATTTAGTAGTGTAGGGATTTGAAAGCTAACAGGATACTGGTAGTGCCATATATTTATTGGTATCTGATTATGGTTTTACTATGTTTTTCTTTTTTCTTTTTCTGTTTTATTTTTTATTTCAGAATATTATGGGGATACAAATGTTCAGGTTACATATATTGCCTTTGCCCCACTTGAGTCAGAGCTACAAACGTTCCCATCCCCCAGACAGTAAGCACCACACCCATTAGGTGTGAGTACACCCATCCCCTCCACCTCCAACCCGCACTGATTACAATATATAAACTCACCCACACAAGCTTCAATTATTTAAAAATATACCTTTTATTATTATGACCCATATACATCACTTTCTAAAAGAGAATAGCAATAGCAAGATTAAATGGAAATAAGTGGATAATTATGAAACCTTAATTATTAACTTCATTCCTTATCTGATTTAATTTTTTTCCCAAAATAACTGTCAGATTGACTTGATTTTCAAATCTTCATTGTTCATGTCTCCCAATTAGGGGTATAAAGAAGTAACAGAATGGCCAAAAGCAAGTTATAAGAAAAAAGGGACATAATATATTTGAAAAACTAAGTAATAATTTCTTTGGTAGTTAACAAATATTACAAAAAATATAAAATTACTCTCATATGACTCTATTTTGGTAGGTATATCCTGATTGTTTGGCACAGGCTATCTATGCAACATTCGTAGAGGCATTTCCAGAATCTAGTAACCTCTTTAATGATGAATTTAAAGAAGATCTAGGGAATAATATTTTTCTTTGGTTATCAGGTATGGATATATCGTTTAAGTATTGACCATTATTTTGGTTCCTAAAATTTTTGGATTGCAGTATTTTGTTTACTCTAGTAAAGAAATTGGTAGCTCTTTGTATTACAAAACATGCCATGTCAATTCCTATGTCTTAAAATAATAATGATTATTTATTTTCTTCTGAAAATTTTTATATCACAATTAATTAGTTATCAGCTTTAGAAGCCAAATAATATTATAAGCAATTGAATTATTGTAGAAAACTGAATTGCCACAGAAATAAAGTCATACTATGTATATACTATATTTGGAAGATAAATATTTTAAGCTACCAATTACATAGCTCAGCTACTGTAATCTACTGTAATAAGATTTTACATAGTAATAATAATGTAAATACCGATATTCATCCAATGAAAATTATTATATAACACCTTTGATAATAGGTAAAGGAAAATGAGCTTTTATGTGGTTATGATGGGATAGGGAGGTGAA